CCCCAAAACCCCAAAACCCCAAAACCCCGCGGAAGTTGATAGAGTAAGAGTTTTAGTAATTAATCAAAATAATCAATATTATTAATATTCTAAAAGTGTGATTACATGTATCATACACACATTTTATAGTTAATCTCATTAAAAATTGAATAGCTTGTTCATTAACAAAAGCTATCACTATTATTATCATTGAGATCTACCTGTAATCTTCATTATCTTGTTTAAGTCAAACCATGGCTTACTTTTCAGAGAATCTTGATCCTGCTTCAGCAATGGAATCAAATACTTTGAATGATCATGACCTATCTCATCTAAGGTAGCTGTCATATCATCAAACAAGTTATCCTCAAGAATCTTATCAAGCATTTATGTGCAGATTTTATCTAGATTATTTTCGTAGAAGTAGTGGATTAGCTTCTGCCAGTCTCCAGTCTCTGCTTATATCTTGACTAAAACATTAGCATAAATACGATAGTATGCTTCAACAAATACAGCATCTTCTTCGTCCTTAGACTCTTCAGGAGGACAAATATCAGACAAATTCAATACTTGAATACTCATTAATTTATGAATAATCTCAGCAAGAGAAGCTTCTAAGCCTGAAAAATCAGGAGGCTATATCAAAAGCTTATTTATTCCTTTCGTAAAGTCAGATTTCTTAATGAATTTGCTCAATGCAAGATCTTTAACATAGTTAGCTAATTGCTACTACAAGCATTCTGGCTAATCTTCATAAATATTTGTAAGGGCAAGCAATACTAATTCATCACCCTATCTACCATTAATTTTCTAGAAATCTCTGTAAATATCAAAAACACTTGCATCTACTTTCATTCCTGAATTCTAAGGATTGCTTTGGTTTTAGGTAACTAAAACATCATAATTGGCAAAATTATCTTTGCATTTCTTGGCAACAACTTTATCATCAATCTAGACTATTTCGAACGCTGCAGTTTATCCTTAATTAGCTGATGGTTACTTTTGGACATATTTAATAGAAGGTTAGCTTGAAGGAATCTGCTAATGTTGCTGTTACTAATAATTTCCACCCTATCTTCCTCCAGTGTTGTAGTTGCCACCTCCCTACTTGACTGAACTTCTTTTCTGTTGAGTCATATCATATTGCTTGAAATCACCGCCTTTGTTCTTTTGCTGATGAGTATTTTATCTATCTCTGCCCATTCTATTGTGATTATTCAATTGTTGCTCCTCAAATTCAATTTGCTATCTGATAGCATCTTCTTCATGAGCCTTAGCTTCAAGTTCTCTTCTAAGATCCTCTATCTTCTTAGGTCCACTCTCATCTAACTTCTTACTCTTAGACCATCCTTCTTTTCTGTTATCAAGCATGTTTTTAATCAAAATCTTGACTCTGGTTGATGTATTTGGATCATCAACCAACTCAGTTATCCTCTTGAAAGATTTCTCTATCCAATACAAGTTCTTCTTTGCTGTATTTAATGTTGAAATATCAAAGTCAGCTGGGATAGATTTTATATCTGCCTTTACTATCTTTTCATCCAAAATGTAACCAACCTTTTCAAAGAAGACTGTAGCTCCCTCAACAGTATCATCCTAGAATATATAAGCTTAATGAATTTACATTGACATAAACTCTCTAAGAGATGTTTTCTACTCCTAATAAGAGATCAAGAACTGAAACAACAACGCTATCCTTTATAAGGGATCTTCTAAGTAATTCTCCAATAAACTTAACATCTAAATAAGTATTGTTATTAAACTTATAATTATTACTTCCAAAGAGTTAAGTTCTGAGCTTGATAAGTTATTCTTCATCCATAGTCTTCTTTTTCTATTTAATATCATCTGAAAAGAATTAATTAAAACTTGTCCTGCAATTTCCAAGAAGAGCTTTTCTGAATGTACTGTTTTACATATTCTTCTATTAAGGTTTCATTCCTCTGAGTCCTAACTCTAATCTAATGATCCTCTCGCATAAATCTCCATAGAATGAACAGTAGGCTTTCTCATTTTAAGCTTTTCTAAATATAGTCTCCACAATAACTCCCATATTCTCCTCGTTGTGATCACCAGTTAAGATCAAATGAATCGCTTGATCATAACCCTCTTCACCGACTAGCTTCAAGTCTCCAAACATATATTGCCTCAACTCAGCGAATTTCTTCTCAAAGTTGTCTGGTGTGATCACATTTACTATAAGTCTGATTTTCTAGTTAATATTTTTATCTTGCTTCGTTTTCTCAATTGTTTTTTTACTTTCCTCAATCAATTTTGTTTTAAGTTCATCTGCTTAAGCTCTTTCCATTGGAGTTAAATTAGTCTCTTCTCTGTATTACTGCTTGACTACTCCTTTGTTAAATTCACCTTAATTTTAGTTTCTGTCTCCTTAATAGCCACCTCTACCTTGGTAACCCCCTCTTCCGCCTCTGTTGTTCTAATAAGGCTTGTTGCCTCCTTTTTAGTATGACTGTTTTTCTACTTCCCTGGCAATGAGCTATCTAGTGAGTATTTCTTCACTGAAGTATTTTGGATTATTGCTGCAAATGCTTAATGATTTAAACTTATTCAAAATATCATTATTAACCCCCTTCTTTGTGGATTTTATTAGTTTGATCAATTCCTTAATGGACTATGATTATTCTTTAGATAGATTTAAAGCCTCCAGCTTCAATGTTAGTTGGTCTTTCACTGGCTTTTCTACGGTCTATTTTGGTTATTCTTATACTTTCACTTCTTTAACTGACTCTTGCTGCTAGGTTTACTGAGGGATTTCATTTGGTACTTCTTATTTAACCTTTTCGGGTGATTTATTTTGATTTTTATCAGGAGATCTCTCTTTTGTTTCTGAAGAGGCAATAATTTCAACTTCCTTTTGTTTTTGAGGGGATTGATAGTTTTATATTGGTTCTTATTTCTCCTCAATAATTTCACTCTTATTTTTTTGTTGCTATTACAGTTATAAATCAATTTATTCTTAAACTGGTGGCTAGGTGATTTAATGCAAGGCGGGCTATGTTTGTTGATTTTATTACTATTATTGAATTGGCTTGCCAGTTTAAATATTTTGGACCTGTGTTGGATTGAATATTTAAGGCTGTTGATGAATTTACTGTGGAATATTGGTATTTTAGAATTGTTATTGACCAGGCATAGTCTATTACATGTAAGAAGGATTCATTTGATGTTGAGTTTGGGGATATAAAGGCATACCTCCTTAGTGCATATGCTGACCTTGCATAATCGGCATATTTGATTGATATTAGGGAAAGTTACCATATTGATTTTATTGTTAAGGATAAAACATTTGAGGATTAGCATTCGGGAAGGGCATTTGATAGGCATTTTGTTGAATCTAAATTCCTGGTTAAGTTCCTCTAAATGGAAGTTTACCTTGTCTTACATTATTATAGGGCTGTTGATGACTTTAAAAACTAGAAGGAGGATTTTAATATTGCTGATTAGATGATACTTGTGCCTAAACCTGGGGGAGTTGCTATGCTTTAGCTGTAGGTTTGAATTCGACTGATTAAATATTAAGATTATTTATCTAATTTGCCTGACTGGTGGATTAGTTTTGCAAATTTATTTAGGCTCCAACCTTGGTTTGATTTTATAAGTTCTATGTTCGAATGTTAGATATTACGGTAGAGTTAGTAACCTCATTTTTGACAACAAAGTCTTCACGTTTGTAAGTCTTAGGGATTGATGACTTAAAATATTCATAGCCTTTTATCGTGGTAGATAATCCTATTTTAGATTTATCCACAGAAGTAGTAGAAGCCGAGGTTATTTACTGAGTTGCTTTCTTATCTGCTATACTGTGATTGTTTGATGTATTTATTAAAGGTTGCTGTTGTAATTTTTCATTTTATACAAGAGGATTAGATTGAGTCTATCCTAGATTTTTATTAAAGTTGGGAGCATTCTAATTCATGTTAGTAGTATTTGAGGCAAACTATTGATTGTAAGTTGATTAGACCTAGGGATGCTAATTTTACTAAGGCATATAATTTGGTTAAGGATGCCTGTAACCCATGTTTTGCTAGAGAGAAGTTTGCTAGAAGGGCTAATTATACTTGTTCACTGTTGGTTATTAATGGTAAGTGTTCTGATAGTGTGGCTAAACCATTCCAGTGCCTTAAAATTATTGCTGTTGATTATACCCCGATGGATAGCCTTAACTGATATTTCTATTTAAAATTTAGTTAATAATTCATAAATTACTGTTGCTAATAGGGGTATTGTTAGCTGACCATCTAGCCCATATCTAAAATAGAGTTAGATTCTTGAAATATCTTACTGGGTCTAGGCATTACTCCACCTTGAATCATCACATTCTGTTGCTATACAGGGATCTACTGAATATGATTTTAAGCATTGATGATTTAAGCGGGTGGTTGCTGTATTTCAGTCTTCTTTTTTACAAAAGATGATGCTTAAAGATTTAATGAGGACTAAGATTGATTTTGAGTCTGAGAACTATCTGGCTGCCCGCCCAAATTACCAGTACCTTAGTTTTAGCCTGCCTTAGGATCTGGATGATAAGTCGGAGGAGCTGTTGATGTTCTGATTGGAATATTTCCTGAATACTGAAATTCATTACCTTGAGTAGAACTTGTATTTATGCTATGCTCCTAGGTGCTGGCATTAGATTTAGTAGTGTCGTTCGTGTTAGTAGACATTTACTTAGCTTTAAAGTTTTAATTATAATTAAAAAAATGCATTACTTTATAATTTGCATATCTATCTTTCAGGGGTTTTGGGGTTTTGGGGTTTTGGGG